TATATATATATATATATATATATATATATATATATATATATATATATATACACTGTTGCACAAAAGTATTGCTTCCTTTGAAATAAATAATTTTTCTTAAATTCCAAATTCCTAAAAGATAAACGCACAATAGGAATAATGCACCGCAATGCTTAAATTGCATCGATTTTGGCTTCAGTGTTACGTCTGTTAAAAGGGAGTTTTTCCTCTCCACTGTCGCTACAAGCATGCTTAGTGCAAAGGAAGGCTGAAGAGTCAATGAGTCGACTTTATCAACTAGTTTTCCTTAGATAGAAAACTTTGAATCACTTTGACTCTATGATCTGGTGAATTGTAAAGTGCCTTGAGATGACGTGTTGTGATTTGGCGCTATAGAAATAAACTGAACTGAACTGAAACTGAACGTAAGTGCACAAAGAAAACAAAAAAAGCTTTTATTTGTTTTATTTGCTCTCAAGGTAGCAACCCTATTTAGAATAATCAAAATGTAAAAGATATTCAGAGTTATGACAGATTTTTTTTCTCAGCTTGAAAATTCTGTTCGCAGTTTTGATGCCTGAAGTTAGAATCTACAATGTAGATGGTCATACAAATAAGGAAAGCCATTAAAGGACAAAGTATATCTAAAACCTTTGATCAATACTGCATGTCCCTCCTTAATTTTCCATTATAATTTTGTAAAACAGCTTGCAGTACATGTTTCAAAAAGGAAAACTGCTGAAGTTTACCACCAGCTTTCTTATAAATAACAGTAGATTTCTACGTTTTTTTTTTATCAAAATGACTAATTAAAGGTTTATAGAATTCGTAAACATGAACATCATAGACATAATTTGACCTAAGGTGCAGACAGCAGAAGTCTCCCTAATAAAGTTTCAGTAAATAGAGACCTTTTTCCCTTACTCCACATCTTGTGTATGCTAAATTTAAGCAGGACCTGTAGGCTTAAAAAGAAACATTTCTAAATCCAAGATGTCTATCAAGCAGCATTTCTATCACCACCATATAAGACATTTGAGCTCATAAAAAATTAACTTAAAATGTAAGTGAAACAGCACTGTCAGAGATTCTTTTTCTCTTCTTTCCATTTTGATCACCATAGCTTCCACAAATTAGCTTTCCACCTGCTCCCAGTAATTGTTGTAAGCTAAATTGACTGTTAGTGTATTCTTCTTCAAGATGATAACAGAACTTGTTAGATTAAAGGATCATTTTTCAGTCTCTCCATTTAAAAAATGAAATCAGTTGACTACTTTTTATCCTGCTATACATGGTTTTGACTTTAAGTAATGAAATATTTAGCCCATTCAGCTTTTAGCCTTTATGCTAACCAGTTTTGTAGCTAGTAGCTAATAACATCTAAAGAGTGCTGACTTTTTCGGTCTAACTTTCAGGTCAGAGAGTAATAATTCAATTTGTTTTATCTTGGTTAATATTGTTTTGATATTTAAACAGGGTTTCCGCAGGTCATTAAAAGTAATTAAATTATCAGTTTTTTAAATTAAGGCCTTAATTGTCATTAAAATTCATTAAATGTGATCATCGTAGCATTTAAAATTCGTTATATAAAAAAAAAAAAACATTTATAGAACAATTTAGTCAGCTATATTATATCACGATATATTTGTGCGGAACTGTTTCCGGTTGATCGTAAGTTGCAACAAAATTTCAACAAAATTGGCGGGAAAACGAGGAATTCGGGCTGCAGACGAAGGATTTTGCCGTTTTACATATATATATATATATAAATATATATATATATATACATATATGTGTGAGAGTCTTGGGTACTTGTTGATTAAATTATATCTGAGAGCAATAAAAGAGCATTAAATTACAGTTATTCATTCCTGTATAAACCCTGTTAAAAATACCCCATTAAGCTAATTCAACTGCTTTTAGCCTTTAAGCTTTGCTAAGTTAGCCGTTATACCATGCTTGTAACTAATATCAAAAGATGATAAATGTTTTGACCTGTCATTTTAACTCATTTAACTTGTTGTTAGCTATTAGCTCAGTTTTTGTTTATTCCTACTTTCTATCATGTGGTTGTGACTTTAAGTAATGAACCATTTAGCCCATTCAGCTTTTAGCCTTTATGCTAACCAGTTTTGTAGCTAGTAGCTAATAACATCTGAAGAGTGCTGACCTTTTTGGTCTATCTTTCAGGTCATAGAGTCATAATTCAAATTTTGTATCTTGGTTAATATCGTTTTGATATTTAAAGAGGGTTTCTGCGGGTCATTAAAAATAATTAAAAGTCATTAAATTGTTATTTTTGTATTTATGGCCTTAACTGGCATTCAAATTAGTTAAATGTGATTATTGTAGCATTTGCAATGCTTTATTTAAAAAAAAAACATTTATAGTACAATTTCGTCAGATATATTATATCACGATATATTTGCGTTGAACTGCTTCCGTTTGATCGTAAATTTCAACAAAGGCTACGTTCACACTGCAGGCCTTGATGCTCAATTCCGATTTTTTTGAGAAATCCTATTTATTTTGTGTTGCAGTTCACATTTCCAAATATATGCGACGTGTATGTGATCTCCTGTTTGAAGTGCATTCATACAGCTTATGTGTCCCGCATGTGCAGTAGAGGACGTAATGACATCACAAGCCAGCAGCTTGGTGTTTACGAAAGTTAACATGGGTGGTAGTGCTGGAGCGCATCTAGTGATCTTTCCAAACCTTAAAACCTCAATCTTTTCAAGATGGTTATAAAAAATATTGCTCTCTGCATCGTCGTCCGCCATGGTGTTTGTTTTTGTTGCCGCTTCTGTGTAGCAAGAAGCAGAATAGTGACCCTTGTCGGTTATTAATGGCGTTCAGCTCGGGTGAATGCGACCTGATCGCCCACACACAGGTTGCATTTGAAAAGATACGCTTCGTATCGGATTCAGGACCACATAGCCAAGTGGCCTGGGTCGCATTGGAAGAAATCGGATCTGTGTTGTTCAGACAGCCATGAAAAGATCAGATCCAGGTCGCATATGGGAAAAAAAATCGGATTTGGGTCACTTCAGGTTACAGTGTGAAAGTAGCCAAAATTTGTAAAAAATTGGCTAGAAAACAAGGAATTCGGACATGCAGGGCTGAAGCCTGTCGACGGTAAAGATGACAAAGTATTTAATGCCTTAATTGTCATTAAAATTCATTAAATGTGATCATCATAGCATTTAAAATGTGTTATTTAAAAAAAACGAAAAACTTTATGGATCAATTTCGTCAGATATATTATATTGCGATGTATTTGTGCGGAACTGCTTCTGGTTGATCGTAAATGGCGACAAAATTGGCTGGAAACAAGGAATTCGGGACATGGCTGCAGCCTGTGGACGGTAAAGATGACGAAGGATTTTGCAGTGTTTTATATATATATATATATATATATATATATAATATATGTATATATACATATATATTAAAAGTATTAAATTACAGTTAGTCATTCCTGTATAAACCCTGTTAAATA